GTTATTGCTTCATTCTAGAGTAGTTCTATCAATTCCCGTCAAAAAAGGGTACCCTAAATTTATCGTGAACGGTGCCTTTAATGTAGGACTAGTGCATGGAGCTATACTTTCTTAACGGCTATTTATAGTCAGATGCAGCACCTTCTCAGCCAGGCTGTTCACTCGAAGGAAGTCTTATTATTCTAATTCCGATGTTCTCAAATATAGAAGTGCTTCATTCAACTGCGTGCTCCAAGAATAGACTTTAGATTGATTCTGTTCATTTTGGGCAAAAACGGAGCTAAACTCCCTAAATTTTGAATTCGAAATGGAGAGGAGTTTAAAAAGCGATGAACCTTTGTGCAGTAGTTGACACATAAGCACTCCAAATGTGCACAATTGGAAGAAATTGCATCCACATGTTCATCTGCTATGAAAGGTACCTGGAAATTGAAAGACTTTACAGTTGTATAACTGACTCACATCGAGTAAGAATTCATACATGATAGAAAGGAGGGGGAAGGGGAGGGGGAGGGGGGGGGGGGGNGGGGGGATGTGGGAAGGTGAAGGTAGAACAACAGCATTCAAGTTGTGTGGCACTAAAAGAGTCCATTTGGTTTGAACTTATTGAACATTGGATTTGTGCACGATCAACTTCAAATCTAACTTACTTCCCTTTATCGACTAAACTACAGGATTGATATCTTCGCCTTTATCCTATGGATTTTCCCCGAATCTTCAATAAGTCAGAAAAACTCACTCCCCACAAGTTCACCACACGTAAATTCGGTAAGAATTGCTTCAGTTTGAATACGTTGACTGTCTCATACACCTCTTCTTCTTCATCCTCTACTTTCTCATACGTTCCTGAAATCAGATTCATAGTAGAAGTTTTAGGAAGCCGTTTTTTTTGGAGCTGACTACTCCTTGCATTCATGGTGGCGACAGATACTACACAACATTTAAGACTGAATTTATCAAAACGGAAGCTGTTCATTTTCCCAATTATTCCCATTGGCTGCTTTCATAGTCCACGACTTGGCCCGCGACCGATCGAGTAGCCATTTGCTCATGGGCGTATGTGGTGTGGCCTGGTGCACTTCACGAGCATGGTCGCAGCCTCAAATCTCGCACCGATATCCGCCCGAGACGATCAAGCCTTCCATCCCTCCAGGGTAGGGAAATGTGTCAGTAACCGCTCGCTATTACATTTTTCTTCATGGTTGTTTATGGTTGATTATCCATCTGCCCGGGGTTCCCCAACGAGTTAGTCCGAACAGAGCCCTCATCAGAGAGAATCTTCATTGGCTGTGGACGAATTGAACCATTCCGAGTAGTTGCCCTTTGAATTATTATTCGAAACCTATATGGTCACGTGGGAAGCCTATAGGATTAGGTTGGATTTCTCTGAGAGCTGTTTTGACGTTGAGGCCCGAGCTGAAAGCCGCCGGCAGCTGTGCGTGTGACAGAAGACTCATCATCGGGCACAAAAGCATTTTTGAGTTTTTTCGTTTCCTATGTGACAAATTTCTTACGAACCACTACACAACACTCAAAATTACCGTGTCCACTCGAGAAGCACCTCTGAAAAGTTATTAAAAGCTCATAAATCATTATAAACAAAAAGTTTCCCTCACCAATAATATGCAAAAGTTCCACAGAAGAAATGAACGTGTAGACTTTTCTGAATAGAAAAAAAATGATTTTGATGGATTACCACTTCTTCCAGTAAACAATCCAACCTCAGAAATCCTTCGAGAAAAATGTTTTCGGATAAGCACAGGGTTAAACTTCGCAGACGTGAAGGAAATGATTGCAAATCAGTGAAGTCATGCAGTTGCATCGCCGTTGAAAAATCTGAAAAGTTGACTAGAGTTCAATATTCCCAATTAGGAAGGTAAAATACAAAAAAACTGAATGTTGTAATTGAAAATAAATTTTTAGTCTAAAAATGGTTGTTCATCTTGATGGAGAGCTACTCAAGCTAGCTACTCTACTTTTACTTTCAACAAGACTACAAAATAGGTTAGGTTACAGGAGGCTACAGATCCTTCTTGAGTCCATTCTGGTTTCTCACCCTAAGAACTAGTAGTCTGGGCCATGAAGCAGACCCGAAAACCACCTACGGCGATGGTATTCAAAAGGCAGAAATCCCACATGTAGCTTGACCATGGTAAAAACTTGCGTACTGCCTTATGATCTCTAAAAAGCAGGAAATCACGCCCGTACAGAAAAGACCACCCTTAAATGGATCAGTTTTGCCGCGAGACATCCTTCCGAAGATCTTTGGATAAGATTTGGTACAAATAAGCGACAATCAATCCATATGTTGCGGTACCTTCGTTTAACTCACACATAGGCTATGTCAACAGCGAAGGACGAGGACCTCTTCACGCGGATTCTGTTCCCTCGACTTTTTTATTTAGTGAACCACTTGACACCTACATTTCCGTTCCCGAGCACAAAACCTACATAACCCTAAGCTTTTGTAGGATATATTTTCGAACGGACAGAAGCATCTTTCAGTTCTAGTTGACTGGTGAACCAATATTTCCATGGAACAAGATATGGTTACAGGGGTGGCTAACCACTCTTCCCTTGTACTGAACCCCCCAATCTTTAAGGAGCACGACCGCATACTATGAGACCAGGTAAGAGCTGAAAACTGGCGGTTCCACTGCTCAACAATTTCCCCGTTCAAATTTAAAAATGCATCATTATAGAATAAGATGGTAGGATGGGGAGGATAAGGAAGCATAAAGTATTGTTGAGAGCTTTTTCTCTGGAGTTGTCTTCTGTGGAGCTAGCGAAGTAGATAAAGTGTTAAGTAAAAAAGAACCTCACCCAGGGTGAGATGTTGAAGTCGTGGACATTTATTCGCCATCTCATAGAGTACGTTCGGTGTGATCAGATCTGTTGTAAGTTCGACAATCCGAAGTTCAGAAAATTGGGTGCCAATCAGTTGCAGAAAGTAGTCATGATTCGACACCTGAAAATTCTTTTGTAGACCTTGAAATGGGCCCTCGGAATAAAAAGGGGGACCACCTGAATGCCACCGTAATTTGGTCTGAATGATACAAATTTCCACAGTAATGGACTGCATGCGACACTCCGCCATCGTTTACAAACTTGGCCTGATTGTAGGATCTGAACTACAAAATAAAAAACAAAGTCTCAGTGATTGGAAGACGAGATCGGACTTACTTGATACGGCGATAAATAGGAGAATATGTGCTGCAGAACCTTGTCCGGAAGTTTATCGATTGTCTGAAATAGGAAAAATCAATGACAATTTTCCGGAACACACCGTTTTTTACACAGGTGTTTAGTTGGTAGCTGCTTCAGTCCAGTAGTGCCCTTACAGATCTGCCTCTTCTGATGGATTCGTCAGCGAGTGCATTCAGATCATCCAGTTTGGCTTTAACGTCGCCGTCAAGATCGGCTACAGTAACCCTGCGGGCCATTTCGAACATTTCCGTCATTTTTGCAATGTGGACCGTTTAGAGTAGGCGTATGCTTTCAGTAGATAGGAATTAACTTCGGAGGGTAATCAAGTAGAGTAGGTAATAGTCAAGGAATCAGTGCGCTAGTGATTCCAGTGACGGCAGAGGTGAAATCGATGCATGCGAGCGTGAAAAGCAACGGCGTACAGCTATTACACTACCAGCCACACGTCCGTTCAACGTGCTCACAGCTACTACGGAAAATCCCTGGATTTGGTTCCGGGTTTCAGGTCGTACGGGCCACCCAGGTGTCTCCTGGGGGCCCATGATGACTCACTCTACAGGTATTGATGAGCCATTAATCGGGATATTATGCCGACAAAAACAAAGTCGTTTACCAATGTTCAAATAGGCCGTGAAGTGGGAGAGAGGGAAGAGAGTGTATAGGCGAAAGAGCTTCAGTTTTGCACGAATCAGCTGAGTAATATCTCCGAACGGCTAGTTCTGAGAACCTCAAAGAAATCTCACGTTCCCAAGATTTATCGCATTAACAGAATCGTTAACGAACACATTTTACAGTCAGGGTTCTTTAGGATCGGTACAAGAGACCAACCAAGCTCACAATGAAAGCCCCTATGGCATTTACACTCTCCAACGGGGCTTAACTGAACGAAGAATATTCCCAAGAAACTGTTTCTGAGATCATTCGATAGATCCTTCTTTCCTGTTAACTAGTTCTTAATACCAGTTTCTATTCAATGCCAAGATTCCTGAGCTCTTACAGATTGTGAGCATGATCGACGGAGCAGCACTGAAGAGCTACCGAACCTACACAAAACTCCATACATATTCAACGCCTTCTGAAAAGCCATTTGCAATTGCCGATTTCGCCGCAGTCCCGGAAGAAGAGCGGTGGAGAAAACATTTTCTCGTGATATTTTGAGCGGATTACTGTAGTTCTCGATCCAAGTGTATTTTTAAAATGACAATATGCTAAAAACATTGTTTCAATGCTTTCTTATCCTTTACGGATAAAAAATTTATTGGGAAAAGGGATCGATCGGAAAGAAGAGTGCATCGACTAGGACTAGGTTCAACGGTTCCTTGAACCGTGAATTTATCCATTACGACGGGCGACAGCTGAGCGATATCCTGTTTGAAACAATATGGACATTATTGGTAGGAGCCTTAACTGGAAATTGGAAGGGTTTTTTGTGCTGGATTCAAAAGCTTTGAGTGATACTTGCACCAATAGATGCGTTATTGAGTATGGCATGGTTAGGAAGATATTTTGGCTATTGGTTTGGTCAAATTACTCGACTATTCGTTCTCGTTTTTATCCAATATAACCTCTCAGATTTTACAAAATGAGCCGGCCACAGTCCTAGCGGCCAAATGGTCGAGGGGAACGGCCATGGCTGACCGGGTGTGGGCGACCAGCGACGACGTTTGCGTCGATCAATATATCGCGCGATCCATAATCCATGCAATTGATTTGATGTGAGTGCAGGAAAGGGTTCAGAAAAATGGTGGCCCCCTCCAACGACATTTTTATCCAATTCCTAAACGCAGTAGAGAATTCAGAAAAGGTTTCCGAAACCTGAATATAAGCACTCAATAATAATATGAAGTCCTGATTTACAATTTCCAAGATGAAAGGTACGTTTTAGTACCCAAAAGGTCCTGACACTTTTCAAAAATCTTAAAGCATTTCAATGCCAACATGTCACATATTCTGCACACCATAATTCAGCGATTCATTCTGCAGTAGTAAATGAAAGCCATAACATAACGTGGTCGCTGGCACTCACTTTGAGCTCCAAAGCACAACCTTCGCTACTAAAGCTTATTATGCTTCAATTATCAGACCTCTTACTTATTTCTCTCTTTCATAGCACAGATATTGCAGACTGTAATGGGACGAGTGCTATAGAGCGTAAGGCATCAAGGAGCCTCTTCCGCCGCCTGCCCTGCGTGCAGCGCAAAAAGCTTGAGCGCAATTTTCAAGAATGCAACACGGAACCTCTAGCTCCATCTCCCGTCTTCACCCAATGCTCCTCTTCCATAGGGATGGACGAAATATATGAATTTAAATTGAATTTAAATAAAGTTATGCCACAGCATGCCGCGCTCGCCGTACTCGATCGCGCGCTTGGAAGGGACGATTTGGTGAAAATGTAGTTGGG